TTTCCCTTTTGTAAACCAACTCTGACACCTGCTTTGGGATTTACCTTTTCATTGTAACCTGCTTTTATTTATTTTGGTGTAGGAGCCCAGGAGCATTACTCAATAAGAAATCAGTTATTACTTACTATTACAACAGAGGAACTAGCTGAAATGCCTGGCAGCGTTTGTATTAAACAATCTGAAGCTTAGACAGTTCAGCCAGGCATTTCTCTATCAAATGAATTGTGTTTTTCAGATTAGCATACTATGCAACCTTTGCCTTCTGGTCCTCCTTCTCCACGACAGAAAGCCAGCCCCTAAATCAGCTGGTGGGACATAAATATTGCACGCTGCAGAACACTCCTATATAACACAGGCACAAACACCTCAAGGCAGACCTCAAAGCCAAGCAGAGAAGAACCAAAATGAACCTTCTTCCCTCCTTCACTCCAGAGACCTGGGCCCTTTTGCTTGTTTTCGTAGCCCTCCTGATAGTGTGAGTAAAATATTCTTTATTGGTTCTTTGCTCATGCCACTTTCCTGTTCTTGCCATTGTTCATTTTCATGCAACTAGCCTGCCAAAGAGCAAACGGGTAGGTGTGATTTCCACATTTCCAGCCCCTAACAAGGCTCTGGGAAGCAGAGGAGTCTAAAGACCATAGAGGTGCATGATCTTGCTCCAGGGTTTGGAGTGTTCCCATTATGATATTGCTGCTAAGCATCAAAGCAATAATCGAATAATAATAGTGCCAGGCATTCGTTACCAGCAGGGTGCTGGCTTCCGCAAGGATCATGAGCCATTAGGTTATTTTCTGCAGAAATACAGTCTTGGGAAGGCTGCACCTCCAGGCTGGGCTTGCCCGATGGCGGGGAGCGGGCAGGAGCTGACCCCTCTGCATGACCCACAAAGGGGAGAGCAGCAGAAAGGCACCAGGAAAAAAGCATTCATAGGATCTGTTCTTCCTCTTCCTGACTCCTTCCATAGTGCCCAGGTAAGATGCTCCATGCAGGAGCTGGATGTGCGAGACGCCTGCAGGGACAGCATCCCACGCCTGTCCCCACAGCCCACCCTTACTGGGGAAAGAAACGGAGCCCAGAGCAAGGTCAGCTCTCTGCCCCTGGCTTTTCAGACAAACTCCATCAGGCAGAAGCATATCCTGCTGCTTGAGAGGAGCCATGCTAGGGAGAAAATGCTTTCGTCCGCTTTGCTGGTGCCGTTTGGCGCTGCAGCGTAGCGTGGCTGGCTGAAAGCCCCCTTCTGCTGGGACACACAGCATCTCCGCTGGCAGCCCCTGCCAACCAGGCTGGACTGACAGACTTTGTAGCGTTGACAAGCCCTTAAGGCAGAGACAGCATGTTGCTGGCCATAAACCTTAATGATTAATGTGGTGCACACAAGCACAATCCATTTGTCTGCCCTGGTGATGCTCCAACCACAGCAGTTCAGTAAGCTCTGAAACTTGTAGCCCTGTTTTTTTGAACCCTTTGTTAGGATTTGGATCACTCAAAAAGCCTGTTTGGGGCAAACTCTTAAAAAAAACCACAACGCCAAACCCCACCCTCATTATTGACCTGAAGCCCCATATTTCAATAGCTCCGTGGCCACCTCAGATTGCTGGGTACCATACTCCCACCTTCTGCAACCACTCGCAGTTTTGTTGTGGCAAAAGGGACAAGCCCAGATCTTTGTGCTCTGATATCTGAGCTAAAATAAATTTGCACTGCCCATTAGCACAGGGTGGTTCAGATGCTTCTCGTCCATCTGGGGCAATGCTATTCCAGCTCACACGTGAAGGGATACCCAGCATTTCTGATTCACATCCATACTAAGAAGAAGTAATGATTATTCTCTGGCTTTAGACTGAATTGTCCTTCTCAGCCTGCAGAGAACTGTGTCACGTTTTAGTCATAAGAGCATTAGACTGCTTTTTCCTGTTTCCATGTTTCAAATGGATTAAGCCTCGCCTATGTTCCTATTGTGTTTCTGGGCTTCGTGACCAGCCCAACCTGGCATTTCCTGGTCCTCCTGCAGCCCCACCTGACCAAAAACTTTACAAACCAGAATCCACAAGCAGTTTATACTTAGTACTGAATTAATCTTTGATAGAGAAGCTTAAACATTGACCAACTGAGCTCTGTGAAACCTTTCTGCACCTGCCAACATGCCGTTACCTGCTTTTTGCCTGCTCTGTTTGGACCATAAGGCAAGATCTGCTTTCGTGCTCTGACAGAACC